GGTGAGGGGGAGGCAACCCCCCCCCCCCCCCCTGCACCCCACAATGCAATGCTGCTGCCTCTGTATAGGGCACTGGTGTGCACGAATTGCATTGTTGGATGAAGGAAGAGTGCCGAGGTGCTTGATTGGGGTTGCATGTCAAGGAAATTATATGTCAATAAGCTCCTTAGGAAACTTTGATTTACAGACAGGTTACCTTTGAATGAAGTAAAAGGAAAAAATGCTGATTCTGATTGGTTAAAATTAGCTTCTTGATGAGGCCCTGTTCACACCAGGGCGGTTCGGTCACATGGAGTACTCGCTGAACTGTCGACATAAACAACCCCATACATTCCTATGGGAAACGTTCATGCAATCGCGCGGCTCCGTGCAATCTGAAACGCCTGCCGCCCAAAATGCTCCCAGAGTTACTTTTTCGCGCTGATTCGGCGTGTTTTCCATATAGATTTCAATGGAAACGCGCTGATCAGTGCATTTTTTGGCATTTTAAATTGCGTTTCAGCGCTAAATCGAGAATAAGAACGCCCTTTTCAAAATTGCGCTGAAACGCATCCGCCCTGGTGTGAATGCGGCCTAAATGTGGTGAGCATCAGCTCTTGGAACCAGTTTGGGCTTATGAGGTGGTTCGGAGGGGTTTGTGGCCCCAGGAGTTTGAATCAGGGGTCAACTTGTGTACGTATGTGGACAAAAGACAATATGGCAAGGCCCAAAAACCCAGCTACCTAGAACCTACTGATGGCTGCCATCACTGACTTATTCTAAAAACACTAGCTGCCCGGTAGCCATGCTGATCCCCAGGCATCGATACAATCGTGGATCCAGAACAAGACTGTAAACAAATGGCGTCAGAACTCTTCATCTGCATACTTGTTCTAGGGTCAGTAACGCAAAGTATTAAAGCCATCAGATCCACATGACAGCCAGGGAACTAGCATTTCCAGAAAGACGTCAGCAATGGCTGCCTCCATACTGCTCTCACTCCAAATTTCATTTCCATGGATTGTTTTTAGGTTTAAGGCTAAGGGCAGTAAAAACATTACCCACTAGTAATTGTCTTTCCTTGAACCAACCTGACCGCTGGCTAAACGCCTTTTAGAAATCATCATCACTCACTGAACAAGCCTGACCGCGCTACTATAAGAATGCACAGAAGGCTGCACAGCCCGCAATGGGTTAATGCCTTCCCCTCCGACAAGTCTTCAGCTATTGCTTATGGACGTATATGGAAAATAAAAGGAGATTGCAAAGGGGGTGCTGTTACCCCAGACTCACTGTGCAATCGGCACGAAGCCACAGGATGCGGCCGCATGGAGTGGGGTCCACCCCTCGTTATCCTGCTGGTTGACGCTTGCTCCATTTTCAACCAGAAACTGAACCATCTCTAGATTTTCATCAATACAAGCCTGGAGGAGGTCAAAGGAGAGAAGTAGCATTTCAGAAAGACACATAAAAAGCCATAGAAATAATAGGAGAAAGAG